ATATAAAATTTTGTTAATATTGCATATATAATATTTAATTTAACTGTGGATTGTATTTCACGGTAAATAATACATTATTTTAAATATCAGTTTAGGTATTTTTTTACGATATTAATTTAATTTTTTTAATAACTCAAGTCTATTTATTATTAAATTTCCTGAATATTTTTCATTGCTACAAAAAAACTCCAACATTTTTGTAGAAGCTAAAAATTTAAGGGGCGCAGTTCAAAATTTTGAACGTTGGCCATTTATTATTATTGTTTTTAAAATTGTATTAATTTTTTTTTAAGTTTTAATTTCTATATGTATGTTTGTGTTAGTTAACAATAATGTTATGTTAAATATAAACAAAAAAACACATAATTTCATTGCCATCCTCTTTTACTCTTAAACGGTGCAATTATTGTAGAGATGAGTTTGGTTAAATTACTTAATTTTGACCTGGGGAATCTCAGGTTACTCTTTGTCCCCATCTTTTCATTACACGCTGGTATAATTAATATTATTAATTATGTTTTGGGATAGAAATAAACTGGATGAAAATAAAACCACTCTCTCTTGATTCGTTTATTAAAATATTTAGTTTTTATAAGTACAAGTTCACAGAAATGTGAATTAGTCACTTTTTGGATACTTAATAATTTTTTCTGCAAAGATTTCATTCTTTCCAGAATCAATGTTAAAAAAGATACTGATTCGAAAAACAGAACATCACGAATAATATTACAAACAACAAAATTGTTCTATTCGATTTACCTCCACTTGAAAAGTATTGCTTTAGGTCGGCTTCAATTTTATTTGAAAGATGCAAATTAACTTCTGCTGTTTCAATGCTCATTGTTAGATTTTTATTTTTAGCAAAATCATACAACTCCTCAATTTGTGTTCGTTTTGTTATCTGATTTGTCAAAGTTTGCACAATAGACTCGATGGTTTCATCTTTGTGGCTACACAATTTATTTAAAAATATTTTTGACTTAGTAATTGCATACTTACTATTTAGATATCTTTGTATAATTATTAGTGAGAAATTTTAACGTTACATTAAAACCTACAGGGCTGTTTTTGATAATTGAATTGAAAACCAATGAAGTGTATTGTCTTGGTATTTCCGAATTAACATCACTTGCCGCAGCAATATATCTAAAAAAGTGTTTTAGCGTCATATTAATTCAATTTATAACAAATAAATACTTTTCAAGTCTATTCTCATTGTTGCTACAACCTAAAGCTTTCAAAATTATTTCTCTTTCACTGGCAACCTTATTTCCATTTATTAATTTGTTCCAAAGAAAATCCCAGACATCTAATGATTTATCACGTCTTAATCTTGTGCAATAGGTGGTGAACCTCAAATTTGGACGTACACTAAAAACAGAGTGATCAAAAGTTAGCGTTAATTTTTACCAAGTAGATAGTACCTAACGCCCTTGATGTGATAAGCATTAAACAGTTGTTCCACATTTCGCAAACACTTAGAATGACCTAAATTGCAAGCCCAATTTAATGCCAATGATTGCTTAAGAGCGTACATTTGGTTTTTGTTATCTACGGCTAAAATCGGCACAGACTCGTACAATTTCATCATTAGCTCAAGTATGTGATTCTGAAATAATAAATAAATTAGAACAAACTCATGCTTTTTCATGCTTACAATCAATTTTTCTTTAATTTCTTGATCGTTTATTTTCCATAAGATTGATTCGAAACCTCTAAAGGCGGAGTACCAAGGGTAGAACTCAGTTTCAGATTTGAGAAAAGAAAGTCTGTTCAGCAGTTTTACATACGAGATGTTACCAGCCATAGCAAAACTGAAAAGATCGTCAACGATTTGGGCTCTAATGAGTACATCAGTAGCATTTAGATTTTTTTTAAGAGCAACTTCAATTCTTTTCCATAAGTCATCGTCATAATAAACGCGATAAAACCCTGCAACATTAAATCAAAAAATTAAAAAATACAAACATAGTTAAAAGAACCGATTTGTGAACTATTTATTATTATCCAGTCTGCATCTTTAGAAAGTGAAACATTAAGTACCAAATCTTTCCCTGGAGTTAACCAGTTTTGTTGGTTGGTACTTCTTGAAGTAGAATAAGTGATAGGAACGTACCACTTTGTTGTAAAATTGGCACCAGACGGCACAAATCGTTGCTGAAATTTTTTTATTAAACCTGGACAAACAATTAGCTAGTAGTATACTTGTGTGATAATAATGTTTGTGTTATTATTTGTCACCTCTAGGAGAGGAAATCCGGCTTGTATCGTCCAATTTTTAATCCTCTCGCTAAGAGAATACGATAAATTAACATGTTTCTCTAAGCAACTCCACAAATGATTTGGCGTGGTGCTTCCCAACTTACTAAAAATAACAAGTGTAAAATTGTTTTAATCTCAAAATTTTCATACTTTTCTTGCAAATAGTCTTGCAACCCTTGTTTAAAATTTTTAGTCCCGATAATACTTTCTACCATGCGAATAATACTAGCACCTTTATTGTATGTAATAACATCAAATTTTGCAGCCACAGCCCCAAATGTGGTCACTTCTGACGACAATGGCAGCGATGAATTTCTCGAATCTGCCATCAAGGCACTTTGGACTTGTTCAATAACAAATTGTTTGTCCAATTCCCAGTTTTTCTCTATTTCTGCTGTTGCAAAATACTGAAAATATCTTGCGAAACCTTCATTTAGGAAAGCATCAGACCACCATTTCATCGTAACTAAATTTCCAAACCACATGTGTGCGATTTCGTGGACCACAGTACTTGCAACTTTTTGCCTGTAGTTTGAAGGCTGGTACATATCCCAAAGCAGTGCTGTTTCTTTAAAAGTAATCAAACCCCAGTTTTCCATTGCACCGACTTCCAAATCAGGTACTGCCACTAAATCTAGTTTTTTAATAGTACTGAAATTGTACGATATTCCCGTAAACTTTTCCATGTATTTTACGGCTTTTGGTGCTATAATCAGTGCATACTGTCTTAGTGATTCAGTACCAGGTCTTGAACATACGTTATATAGAATTCCATCAGATTGCGAATAAGTACAAGTGAGTTTCGAAATAACCAAAGCAAACAAGTACGTTGACATTTTTGGTGAAATTTCAAACTCGATTGTTTCTAAAATACTATCATTACTTATAGTATTTTTTTTTTTTGGTGAAGTGTTTGATAGAACTGTATAGCCCCTAGGATAAGTTACTGTTAATTCAAAAGTGGCTTTAAAGTCTGGTTCATCAAAACAAGGAAAAAGTCGTCTGGCATGCATTGGGTGCAAGTGTGTAACTACAAAGTACTCAGTCTGGTTACCATTTTTGTAACTACTTTTATATAGTGCTTGCAAATCATAAATATTTACATTTCCATAGTAAGTTAGGGTCAAATTATATTCGTTTTGGTCAAGAGGCGTTGGTAAATTGATTTGCAAAATTTCACCACTATTGTTAGTAGAAATAGAAATATTAGAAATAGAAATATTATTTCCATCTACTTTACAAGATGTTAAATTCAAATTTCTTGCATGTATTCTAATTACATCAATTGTACTTGAAACATTGATACGTATTTCTATTTTCCCTGCAAATACATTGGTTTCAACGAAAGTTGAATTGAATGCTAAATGAATGTTGTAATTAATTGGCACTACAGATTTATCAAGTCGGTTAATTTGTAGAGCATTGCATAATGATGTTGCAGTTAAAAAAAAAATCAGTTGTTTTACATCCATTATTGATTCTAAAATGATTAAAACTAATTTAATTGTAAATACAACTAGGAAAAGAAGAAGTACGTACCGAAATGAACTCACTTACAAATTCTGTGTGAACATGATGTCCTTGTATATATACCCTCAAAGATGTTTGTGTATTTATTTATTCTTGGATTAATCTAATTGTAACAATGGTGCAATAAAGTAATTCAATATTTATTTTTCGGTGTCATAATGAGCATTTTGTGTAAATGAAAACAGTTTCAAAAAATGCAATTTTGTGGCACTGTTTTTTGGCGACATTCTATGCAATATTTTGGCCATCACTAACTAGGTATAGACTGTCGTTTTTAAGTGAGAAATTATTGCAATTCAACGTATTTGTTTTTTAACATAATATTTTATATTTATTTGAAATTTCACGAGATAAACGTAGTGAACACGACGGTCTTGTTGTATTACTTGATATACAGGGTTATTCATAAATATGAAGCAATATTTGAACCTCAAAAATGACCTATAAAATGATGTTAATTTAAATAATAACTCGTGTCCTATCTCTACTGATAAGAATTTTACAGCCCTCGGAATGTGGGTATGGAAATTTGATTTTTTTGTAATAACTGTGGAACTATTTGACCAAATATTATAAAATTTGGAACATTTCCCTGTGACAACATATCCTTTAAACTGGTAATCACGAAAACCGGATACATCCATTCAATTTCCGGTTCCAGCAGTTGCAGGTCACATTTTCTGTGTTTTTCCATTTTTTTGCTCTCTTAACACCAATTTTTTATTGCCCAAATCGATAGAGTAATCAATTTCGATTAAAAAACGCATAACCTTTAATACTCCTAACATGAACCGTTTCAAAGATATTTTAATTTAAACTGAGGACTGCACAACGCTGAAATAAAAAAATAGGGATTTTGAATAAATGATATCCATGGCAACCAATGACCATGGTCACATAAATCCCTGCCAGGCATCTGTTAACTTTGACAATAAATTTTTGTGAATTTTTTATGAATTAAATGCTACGAGATCCATTTGGATTTATTCTAAGTTATGTTTGGAATCTGAGGTAAACTCTTTTATTAAATATTTGCGATTAATTGTCTAATAATCGTCCAATGTCAAAGTTGACAGATGCCTGACAGCGATTAGTGAGACCATGGTCATTTGTTACCAAGGATATCATCCATTCAAAATCCCTACTTTTTGGTTTCAGCGTTGTGCAGTCCTTAGTTTAAATTAAAATATCTTTGAAAGGGTCCATTTTAGGGGTATTAAAGGCTTGCGTTTTTTAATCGAAATTAATTACTCTATCGATTTGGGCAATAAAAAACTGGTATTAAGAGAGCAAAAAAAATGGAAAAACACAGAAAATGTGACCTGCAACTGCTGGAACCGGAAATTGAGTGGATGTTTCCGGTTTTCGTGATTACCAGTTTAAAGGGTATGTTGTCACAGGGAAATGTTCCAAATTTTACAATATTTGGTTAAATAGTTCTAAAGTTATTACAAAAAAATCAAATTTCCATACCCACATTCCGAAGGCTGTAAAATTCTTATCAGTAGAGATAGGACACGAGTTATTATTTAAATTAACATCATTTTATAGGTCATTTTTGAGGTTCAAATATTGCTTCATATTTATGAATAACTCTGTATGCAGCCTAATATTGAAATATAATGTTCAGATTATAATTTTTGGTGAATGCGCCTTGATTTGAAAATTGAATATTGTTTTGCTTTTGTGGCTACCTGTAAAGTGGAGCTCAAAAGAATTCGAAAATGTTATAAAATTTAACTTTTGTTTATTTAGGAATGATGTTTTGCAAATTGCAAGGCACTTAACAAAAATACTGCAACAAGAGTAGTGTTGTGATGGGAGTCACAATTTCCGATGATAGAAAAGTTTGAGTTATCATCTACATTAATCGCTGGAAATTCTGTTTTTGTGGTAGCACAGTGGTGACCTTTAAGGTAGGATGACAACCTTAATTTCCAAATTTATCATCATTTTAAATTATTTAAAGCAACATTTATATGTAGATGTATGTACTGAAATTGCAAAACTTTCAGTCCAATCGTGGGTCTTCTTCAAGAACTGAAATTTTTTAATAATCAGATAAACTGTGTTTGTATTAGGTACTGTAACTAGTAACTACAAGTAAAATTAGTGTTGGTAGTCGAAATAGTAAATACATACAGTTTATTATTAGATATTTCTTGATAATGTTTGAGCAGAAAATCAAAAGCTATGCATGTCTACTTCTTTCGGATTGTTTGAAGAAATTGAGAAAATAACTGAAAGAGGGTCTTGGTTTTTAATTTTCTAATTAGCATCAATTGATAAACTAAGATATTTATTAAACACATCTTTATTTTTAACACATATGTACAAAAGCCAACAAACGTAAGATTTGTTAATTGATAGACTTGTCGTCTTCAAATCATTGCATACGAACTTACAATCATTCTTTGGATCAATAACCGGTGCAATAAATCACACATTTCAAGTTCTTATCCTGTCTCCTTGAAGATATTTTCTTCTCCAACACCAATATCTTATACTATCTCTTGGGTGCATTTAAGCTTACCTCTTATGTTGTAGTCAATCACAACGTATTTTATACACTACTCTTCTTTTGGCATTTTGTCAATTTTGATATTACTTTGACAAATTTCTTTACAACAATTTCTGAATTTTATAAAATTTCTGATTCAATATTAGTGTTGAAAAAAAATTTGTAAAAAACACAAGTTTTTTCTAACATATTGATGAAGGCATTTAATGCAGAGTAGGTACCACGGATAGTAAAAAATGCAAAGTATCATTTTTTGAAAATTTAAATAGACTAAAAAACTTTAAGTATGAGTGAATATCAATTTTTGCAAAGTTGTAATAGCTGGCAATTAATTGTGCTCAGTTTAGTTTATGAATGCTACCAAAATCCGGTGAGTTAATAAGGGGGGATTTGATTAATTGATTAATAATAGGTAATTATCTATGATTAAAACGAATTGTTACTACAACAGTCAACTTTTATTTATATTTAACAGTCATATAACTGATTTAAAAAATATATTGCAAAGAGAATAATATGGTAATCAAAGTGAAAATTCCTGGCCTTAGAGACGTTCCCAAGCTTTTATATTTTTTTGGAGTTTTTGTCGTTTTAAATGTTGGAACTTTTTTAAGTATGCCACCAAGTCCAAAATAGAATGATAATTCTTTTTCGAGTTTTTCAGTTTTCTTTAACTTAGTCAAAGCTTTGGAGAGAGTCTCACGTGCTGAAGTTACAAAACTTTTAGGCAAATTGCCAACAGTATTGAGAAAAGTGTTCAACTGCAATTACCAAAACAGTATATTATTAAATCAGAAGTACTAGTCTATTTACAAACCTTATCGATTTGATCTTTTCTTGTGAATTTATTAACTACATTACTAAGTAGAGAACTAACCCAGTAAATGCTACCGTAACTAGAAATTAAATTAGTTTTGGTAATACAAACAGGAAAACGTACTATTGAGATATTTTCTTGTAATCTGTGAGCAGAAACTTTAAACATATGTCTACTTTTTCAGGATTTCTTGAATATACATAGAAAAACGCTGAAAAAATGTTTATGTTCTTAACCTTCAATTTAGGATTGATCGAATAACGGAATAACTTGTTAAGTACATCTTTATTTTTAGCACATCCTAGAGCCGAGGAAAGTATGTCTTGTTCAGTTGCTAGTCTCATCGTCTTTAAATCATTCCAGACGTATTTCCAATCATTCATTGGCTCATTACTATGCATCAAACCGGTGCAATAAACTACAGATCTCAAGTTTTTATCTGGTCTCCTAAAAAATTTTAAATCAAATTTAAAACAAAGCAAAATGATATCACTTTTTCGAATTTTTATAAGACTTAAAAACTACGACAGCATTATCTACACAATCTTTAAGATCCAATTTACAAGCCCATTTTGTCACCAGTTCCTGCCTACGTGAGTACATTTGGTCCGTCTCGTTGGAAACATTGAATAGGGCTGAACTATAAAGACTACTCATTGTATTCAAGATATATTGCTAAAAAAACATAATTTAGAGGTGTCAAAGCGTAATAAACAACCAGTACCGATAAATGATGATAAATTGTTTTATTTCCTATGTTTGACAACATGTCGGAAAAGGCAGAAAATGCCGAGTGCCACGAATAGTAAGAAGTGTCATTTTTTAAAAATTTAATAAGATTCAAAAATTCAGAGTAAGAGTGAATACCGGCTTTTGCAAAATTGTAATAATCATCGATGATTTGTGCTCGGTTTATTTCATGAATGCCATCAAATTCCCTTAATGACAGAGCGGTTATAATATTGGTCCAGAGAGTACCTTCATAACGGATTCTGTAATAACCTGACGAAAAGCAGTAATTAGTGATATTGTATCTTTTATAAGAATATACAGCTTGAGTCATTTACGAGTATAATAAAAACCCTTAAAATACAATCACATTTTTTATATTAATTTTATTTATATTAATTATTATTTTCTGGAGGCAAATGATTAAAAAAAACTGCTTGGTTCCGTACTTTATACTTACTTGTATATGACTCAACCTGTATGTTGTACAGTAAATAATGATTTAGATGGCACTCTGAGTTATAATTTTATCCAAGTGCCTACATCTACATTTTATCACTCGTGTTTTAAGAGCTTGTCTTGTACAGTCGCGTGCAATATAATTATTTTGGTCGTCAATGTTATTTTTAAACAAACTTATTTTAGCGACATGATTATCAAAATATTTTGCGGCTGTATGTCACCTGTTTGTTGATTATTCAGAATTATCCAAGCATTTGTGCTATTAGTCACATTAGTAAGAACCAAATCATTACTTGGTAGCAACCATTCCTTTACTGTAGTGTTTTTAAAATTGCTTGCATCTAGTGACGTTGTGTAACTGATTGGGACATACCATTTACCATCACTACTTAAATTCCTAGAAGTTATAAATCTTTTCTAAAATGTATTTTGAAATTATTTTTTTTTTCAAACTTATAACATAATTCACCTGTGAAATAGTAATAATAATATGCCCTTTAATTTTTACTGTTAGTACTGGATAACCGGGATTAATAATCCAATTTTCTACTACCTGAGTCAAACTTATATTAGGTGGTAAACCGTTAGCTGTTTCTTGTAAAGCAGTCCATAAATTTTTTGGTTTGGTATTGCCATACTTGCTATAATTTGAATTTATCAATGAAACGTGTTGCACAAAAAAGTATAATCCATACTTTGTTTTTAAATATTTGCGAACTCCGGTTTGAAAATTCGTAACTCCCATAAAATGAAGAACCATACGCACAATACTAGCACCTAATATATAAAATTATATTTAGAAATTTTTAAATTGATGGTACCTTTGTTGTACGAAATTCCACCAAATCGAGTGAGAATTTCTGCTGGTGAAGAGACCGGACTAGAAAGAGCTTTAGATGTTGCTGATGAGTCACTAGCTAAAACTTTATGAAGACATTCTACTACAAACTGCTTGTCAAGCTCCCAGGTAGGCTCAATCTACAATTTTAGCAAAATTTGAGACAAAAATTGTTTTTATTAATTGTACCATTTTTGTGAATGATCGATATTTAGATAAGGGTTCTTTTCTTTCTTCTCTCTTAAATTGTTTATTTATTTAAGAGAAAAGAACCAAATAACATTTTCCCTCTATCTAAAATTTGTTTTATTATACCTCTGCTGTTCCATGATATTGAAAGTATCTTGCAAAAGCCTCATTTAGAAAAGTATCTGACCACCAATGCATCGTAACAAAATTTCCAAACCACATATGGGCTACTTCGTGTGCAATGACCAATTTGAGATCTTGTAAATAAGAGTTAGGAGACTCATCTTTGTCCCACAACAATCCTGTTTCTCTGCAAATCCAAATTTAGTATTTGTGCTTTAAAGAAAAATTAATACTTATATGTAACCAGTCCCCAATTTTCCATTGCGTCATATTGAAAGTCAGGAATAGCAAAATGGTGCATTTTTGTAATTCCTAACTCACTGTATTTAATTCCAGTCCATTCTTCCATAACTTTTATTATTTTTGGTCCGGTTTTAGCTGCAATTTCTCGAATTGGCGCAGTCTCGTTTTTTGAACATACAAAATGTTTAGTTACACCATCAATAGATTCTTCATCACAAGTGAAATCAGAGACAACAAAAGCTATCAAGTAGGTGGACATTTTAGGAGTTTGCTCAAAAGTCGTCATTGTATAAGAATTGTCTCTGTAAAATTTTATGAAATAAAATTTTATAACATGGTAATGCCTCACTGTTCATCAACTTTGGAAGTACCGACAGTATTTGCAACAGCTGTATATCGACTCGAATGTCTTATTTCCATTTTAAAAACAGCCTTATAGTTTGGCTCATCGAAGCAAGGAAACGCTTTACGAGCTGAAACTGGTTCGAACTGAGTCGTAGCTAAGAACACTTGAGTACCATTAGGTGTCGTATATGAGCTTTTGTAAAAGCCTAGATGTTCATCGGTTCTTAGTTTCCCTTCATATGTTATTTCAAGTTTATAAGTAGATTCTTTTAAAAGATAATCCTTTGTTATAATTGTAAAAATATCTGTCACAGGATCACTTTTAAAATCTTTATTTACGACCTCCTGTTGCTTAAACGTCATTGTTGAAATTGAAACATTGGTGATATTAATCCCATTCGCGTGTAATTTAAGTTCGTTGGTAGGACGCACCATTGTGAAATTAATTGTCACGTTCCCAGTGAATACATTAGTTTCAAAAATATCTTTTTGAAGAAACAGTTTGATATCATAGCTGAAAACGTCAACATCTTTTGGTAAACGGTACTTAACTGTTTGTTTCTGTTCAATTGGTACGACAAATTGGGAGTATGTTAACAAAATTATAAAACGTAACCATTTTGAAAGTTCCATTTTATGGTAACACCTATTTTATTCTTGCTGCAATTATTATCACAAATGCGAGTAAAGTGTCTTCTATGTATATAACCCTTCAGGACTGATAAGGAAATATACTTGTGAAGTTTTTCACAAATTTGTGTATGAAAAACCGATTTTCTTTATATGATGTTTATATGTCAGTAACATTTGTTATTTCATTGCAATGCCACCTCTGTCAGTTATTTTAATTTTTGCAGATAAAAAAATCAACATTTTTTTTTATTTTAATTCATATACGGTTACTCACATACTATAGAATGATGCTTGATTAAAAAATCAACATTTTTTTGGTTTTAATTCCTATACGGTTACTCACATACCTACTGTAGAATGTTGCTTATATCGTAATAATTATTGAAAAATTTTAACAATACATAAACACACATTGTGATTAATAACTAATTAATAACTGATTTTGAAATGGAAGATATCTACATGGTGTTTTTTTTCGGTTGCTCGTATTACATTAACTTTATCAGCGCAATATCCAAAAAGTTTTCTTGATTTTTCTTAGTTGTTACATTATTTTTTAAAGAATTTTATTAGAGTTTGTGGTGCTAAGAACAATACATATAGAGTATACAGTATGCAGTCATTGTGATAATACTAACTAAATACTAACATCTTATATAAATCTTATTGCAACTAACAAACGCTATAAATTGATTGATATCAAAAGAATGATTAAAACGAATTGTTAAAACACTAAACTTTTATTTATTCAAAAATGATTTTTTATATAACAGTATTTTAAAAATTTACCGCAGAGTGAATAATATGGTAATCAAGGTGAGAATTCCTGGCTCTAGAGACGTTCCCAAATTTTTATATTTCTTTGGAGCTTTTGTCGTTGTTGGAATGTTTTTGAGTATATCTGTGGTGTTTATAGTATAGGGCGTTATTTTCATTTCACCAAGTCCAAAATAGCATGATAATTCTTTCTCGAGTTTTTCAGTCTTTTTTAACTTAACCAAAGCATTTGAGAGAGTTGCACGTGCTGAAGTTACAAAACTTTTAGGCAATTTGGCAGCAATATTAAGAAAAGTGTTTAACTGAAATTTTCAAAACAGTACTTAGATTAAATCAGCAGTACTACTCTATTTACAAACCTTGTGGATTTGATCTTTTCGTGTGAATCTATTAGCCAAATTATTAAGCAGTGCACTGACCTCATTCATGCTACCGTAACTAGAAACTAAATTACTTTTTATAGTACAAACACAAAACACATACTACTGAGATATTTTCTTGTAATGTGTAAGCAAAAACTTTAAACATATGTCTACTCTTTCAGGATTTCTTGAATATACATAGAAAAATGCTGAAAAGATGTTTATGTTTTTAACCTTCAATTTAGGATCAATTGAATAACTGAAAAACTTGTTAAGCACATATTCATTTTTAGCACATCCCAGAGCCGACAAAAGTACGTTTTGTTCAGTTGCTAGTCTCATCGTCTTCAAATCATTCCAGACGTATTTCCAATCTTTTATTGGCTCAGTACTATGCATCAAACCGGTGCAATAAACTACAGATCTCAAGTTTTTATCTGGTCTCCTAAAAAATTTTAAATCAAATTTTAAACAAAACAAAATGATATCACTTTTTTGAATTTTTATAAAATTTGAAAACTGCGACAGCATTATTTACACAATCTTTAAGACCCAATTTGCAAGCCCATTTTATCACCAGTTCTTGTTTAAGTGAGTATATTTGATCCTTTTCGTTTGAAACATTGAATAGTGCGGAACTATAAAGAGTACCCATTGTATCCAGGACATATTGCTAGGAAAACATAATTTAAATGTGTCAAGGTACAATAAACAACAAATACCGATAAATGTTGATAAATTGTTTTATTTCCTATGTTTGACAACATGTCAGAAAACGCAGAAAATGCCGAGTGCCACGAATAGTAGGAAGTGTCATTTTTTAGAAATTTAATAAGATTCAAGAATTCGGAGTAGGAGTAAATACCGGCTTTTGCAAAACTGTAATAATCGTCGATGATTTGTGCTCGGTTTATTTCATGAATGCCACTAAATTCGCTTTGTAACAGAGCGGTTTTAATATTGGTCCAGAGAGTACCCTCATACTCGATTCTGTAATAACCTGAAAAAAAACAGTAATTATTTAGGTATTTACATGTTTTTCTAATAATATCTAATATATCGGGACTCTAAACATAGTCTATGTTCAGTTTAAAAAAGTACAGAACAATGCACTGCTCTCATTCTAAGTCTATGTAGTGTGTATACAGTTTAACAGCCACAAAATAAATAATTGTTTTATTCAACTAAAGTTGATGATAAGACAAATAAAAAAATTACAAGCACACAAAACATTAAATTGTTTAGAGTACGAAATAAGGTAATAGCAAAAATTTTGCTGAAAACAATAATTTAAAATAACAAAATAAAAATGTTTGCTTTTTTGAAAACGCTGCGAATACGATTAATGTTAGAAAAAATTTTAATATTTTAAAAAAAGTCCGCATACATCTATCGTCAACGGTACCAGTCCTACAGGCAGTCAAAAAATGCTTTCGTGCGGTGGTGACATGTCTAAAAAAACAATTTTAACCTAAACGGTTGCACATAGAGATATGGTGTCCTGGATTTTTTTTAAATGACTTTTTGAAGTTTTGTTCCTTATTTTTTTTATATTGTTATTCGTATTTGCAGCATTTTCAAAAATGGCAAAAAATATTAAGCGAAGTAACAATTTATGTTTTCAGTAAAATGTTTGCTGTAAGTAATATGTTTTTTATTATAAACTAAGATCCGCTATACTTGCTTGTAATTTTGCTATTTGTCTACATTTAAACACAACTATTTTTTAATTTCGCTTGCAGACAGGCATTATAGCAGTAGCATCCTCCAATAGATTAACGTGTTTTGACTATGTTCAGAGTTAAGAAAATATCCGTGTATAATTCAGAGGGAAGCCACGCTGTGTTGTCATTTCATCTAAGTACATACATACTTACAAATAACATTTAATCATTTTTGTCAACATTTTTGATATGTGTTTGTTTTATATGTCACCTGTTTGTAGATTATTCAGAATTATCCAAGCATTTTTTCCAATAAGCACATTATTAAGAACCAAATCATTACTTGGCAGCAACCAGGCCTTTAACGAAGTTTTCTCAAAATTATTGGGATCTTGTGATGTTGTGTAACTGATTGGGACATACCATTTATCATCACTACTTAAGTTTCCGGAAATTAAAAATCTCTTCTAAAATGTATTACATTTATTTTTTTTCCACTTAGGTCATAACTTCTCACCTGTGATATAGAAACATTATTTTCAACAGGTTCGACCTTTAATACGGGATAACCTGGTTTAACAATCCAATTTTCTACTACCTGAGCCAAACTAATATTAGGTGGTAAACCTTTAGCTGTTTTTTGTAAAGCATTCCATAAACGTTTTGGTTCGGCATGTCCATACTTGCTGTAATTTGAGTTTACTGATAAACAGTGTTGCACTAAGAAATACCATCCATACTTATCTCTTAAATATTCGCGAACCCCGGTTTGAAAATTTATAGCGTCCATGAAATGATTAATCATACGTAAAATACTAGCACCTGAAATATAAAATTATACTATTTAGTAATTTTTAAGTTGGTGTTATACATATGTGTATGCTTGGTTGCATATTGTAGATATTTGTATATAATAAACTTAGTCTTAAGCTGACTCTTAAGTTGATTGCATGGTGCT